GTGATTTTGGAGGTTTAGAAATGAAACTAAATGGACAGTTATTGTTTAAATTTTTGGGTGATTCCTAATATGGAATTCAATCGTTAGCTTGGCAAGCAACTTTGGAGAATTTGATGTTTCCCCAATCAGACAGAATGCCCGAGCATATTGCCCGAGAGATGTTTCAAAGATGGCTCCCCGAGTGAAGCGACTTGCCTTAAAAGGGACTTTAACTCAGAAGACCATCGCCTTTGATGATATGTAATTTTGTTTTTGATTGTCAGCATGATGTAAAGTAGTAATAATATTTGTACAACATTGTATTAATGATATTTATACATAGTCAAAGTTATGTCAACATATGCAAAACCGATACAAAAAAATTTGTTTGTTTGGACCCAAACAAATATTTGTTGGATTTTTAAAGTTAATTTGATTGCCTAAATAAAAATCTGTGGATATTATCGATGCATTTATTGGGTAAAACTGCTACTTTTTAGTGTCTTATGTGTTTTTGGTTATTATCAATGCACTGTCACTTTAACTGAGTGTAAGTAGCACAGCCAAAATAGACCCAGCGCCGAAATGACCACAGCTCTGCTTTTGCGTGCGGTATGAAAACTCAAATCCAGGGGTCATCAAACTTGTTCCTGGAGGGCTGGTGTCCTGCAGATTTTAGCTCCAACCCTAATCAAACACACCTGAACCAGCTAATCAAAGTCTTACTAGGTATACTTGAAACACCCAGGCAGGCAAGTTGGAGCTAAACACTGCAGAGGGTCACAGCCCTCCAGGACCAGGATTGGTGACCCCTGCTCTAATCTGTTAGCATGGATGCTGAAAAAAGTATGTTCTGCTCCCACTCTGTTTGCACATGCGGTGTGAAAAAGGCTGTTTCTAACACTAATCAGTTCATTATTTGTATTAAATAGCTAACATAAATGCTGGATATTTCAGAAAAGTACAGTATGTGCCTCTGAACCACAAACTCAGCTGATATCCTCTTATTCTAACACAAACAGACGTTACCAGGGAAACAGAACATGCTGCTTTTTTTCATGCTGTAAACACAAACAGAATTCAGTTAAACAAACTGAAAACTCACCCAGGGCACATTTTGTCACACTTCTTCTCGTAATACACTGCACAGTCATAGCAGAAAACATGTTTACAGGGGATCTAGTGGAAACAAAAAGCCTTGTTTTCAACGAAGGATCTCAAGGAATATAAAGAGTATTGTAGGGTCACGAATGTTGTTTTTACCATTCGCCCATAAATCTTTATGGGCAGGCCACACTTGTCGCAGAAATGGACTGGAGTGTCATCTTTTACTCCAACCAAGTTGAGCTGTGGAAACAAGCAGGTCATACTTATGTTACATATTTAAACACCTATTCAATTATTATTAAATGCTCTTTATTGTTAAAAACATTATTGATTTGTAACTAACTGAAGACAAACATGTAACCTTATAATCCCAGAAGATTGGATGAGGGAATCTGCGATGGCTTCCATATGCATCACCTGATTTACACTCAAATCTTTCCTCCTGTTTATATCTGAAAGGCTCTAAAGATCACAAATAATTTCATTTTTAAAAGACAAGAAAATAAGACATAGCAAAATCAGTGAAAACCTAATCAAATATTTAACAATTTCAAAGACAAATATAAATGTTTCATAATACATTGTGACATCAAAATCCTGATTTCTTAGGCCCTGTTTCCACCAATACGTTTTCTCTTAAAACGGCATTTTAGAACGAAAATGATCCATGTCCACACTGGCGTTTCCTTGAGCCTTTCTGAAAAGCTCTCCGTCCACACTACACCACTGAAAACGCACATCAGGTGACCATACTTGCACTCTAGCATGCACTGACAGTATTCCTGAGTCCAGGCAGTCAGCAGGAGCTTTGAGCACACATGTCTGTTTGACTGATTGCTTGCCTTTATTTCCTGTATTATGTCAACTTATTAGCTGCATCCCAAATCGCATACTTATGCACTATTCTACGCCATTTTGTAGTATAAATAGTGTAAGTAGTGTGTTCACACTGAAAATTCAAAAAATTATTAGTGCACTTTAATTACCCGGATGATGCACTCATTCAGCCGCTAAAATGAAGTGTGGAATGATGGACACTTCATGCACTCAACGACCGCAGGTTTGCTTACGCAGCGGAAGGGGCGGAGCTATCGGATGCACATGTTGAATAACGTTATTTTGGATGGTGAAAGCAAAATTCTCCTACGAGAGTGATTATAGCGCCTCCCGATGGTAAATGCTGCAATACTCACGGCAGGTATTATTTGATAATTCGGTCGTTTATTTCGCTGATTTGGCAACCGTCAAACGTCATCAGGGAAACGGTTTGAATTTCCACTTAGTAAAAAAAACATTAGTGTGCCATTTGGGACGCCACTACATACATATACTATCCTGTTGAGTGTGTAAGTGCATAAGTACATAGTGCATGAGTGCATAGTGTATAGTGTGCCATTTGGGATGCAGCTATTGTTACTTACTATTAGCTATCTATTACTTACTTATTACTTAATTACTTATTATGTATGAGAGAGTTTTACCTCTAAATTTATATCTGGTGATGATGTCTGTGGGTGTCACAAGTCAAAATGAAAGCACAGGTTTCGCTTATAATGTCTTATTGCTCATCATAAAGAATTAAAATAAGGATGCTTGACAGCTGAGCGGGACTCTGCAAAATAAACCGTAAAACTGACCAATGTGAGTGGAGTATACTCGCACATGACTTGTTTTAGCTCTTTTGGTCGATATAAAAACTTTTCTGTGTGAAAGCGAACTGCACCAAGAACAAAGAGCAACATTGTAACAATTTTAATCCCTGTTTCGAAACAAGAGAATCGATCCACATGTGTGAAAGCACCCTTAATCAGAGTATTGTTCTAATAATTACATTCGGATTATTGGTGTAAACGTACTCAGTGACAAATAGGGATGCAATTATGAGAAAGATGTCAGAATGGTGAGATATAAACTCGCAAATGGAAATGATTCTGAATTCCATGTTATATGGTAAGTTTAACTTTAATACATTTTGTTACTTTAACTTAATCATTAATTAAGCTGTAATTAATTTTAGCTATTCATTTGCAAGTCAACAGCATTTTGTGGGACTGAAAAGGCAATAAAAATGGTTTAAAGGTGCACATTAAAAAAAAAATCAGAAAAGATAAGTATTATTATAAGTATTATTTAGAAGTCATTTTTTTGTGATCCATTGGACAGGGTGTTGTTGATAATGTTGTTATCTATAGGCAGATTTATTATGCAGAAGTTAAATCATTTAAATGTTCTCTTAAACTAAGAATTGCAAAAAAAAAAAAAACTATTATTTTTAATATTAAAAAAAGTCACAACTATTGTTTTTAATCATGTGTCCAGAAAATATAGAAAATCTTTAAATGTATGAAAAGTAACCTATATAAATTTAGCAATTGCAGACTGAGTCAGTCCTAAAGATCAGGCAGCATTTCCCAAAAGCATCGTTAGCCAAGTGATCATAGAGTGCATTGATGTCAATAGTTCAGTGATCTACTTTGGATGCTTTTAGGAAATTCATTCCAGATGTGTGTGTAGCATTATGTCCAATTTAATTGTACTATACTTTAGTCACAAACTGAGACCAACCTTCCTCTCTCTTTGAGGGCAGTCTGGTGGCTGGACGCTGAGGTTGGGCAGGTGGTTTGCCTCTCATTGTCTGTTTAGACAGTAACTTGATTGGGATCTGTCTGCGAACATCAAGACCTCCAAGTGATCCAGAACCATCAGTTCCCTGAAGGTCATTATCTGAGGAGGACACAGAAGACATCCAAAATAAGTAAACTACACTATACAAGCACACACAGCATTAATGCTACATCATAAACACAGTTTATCACCGTATTACCTCTGAATAAAAAGAAGCACTTCCTGAAATGGATAAATAGATAAACAGTACTACTATAGGCATTATTATAATTCAATTAACGAACACATGAGTGCAATAACAAGCAAAACAAACTAAAAAACCCAAGGCCAGTGACTTCTATATGAAGACAAGCGTTAGTTCTACCACAACGCTTACAGAAACTCTACATGTTAATTCATGAGTATACAGGTGTTTTAATACATATCTAAGACTAATTTGAATGTTTCTGGGTTTATGGCACTTGGACGTCCTGTCAGCCTCTAGTTAGCGGGATACTGACAATAAATGCGTTCACTGCCAACACATAGCGACATATAAATGGCACCAAGGGCTCGCTGCTTTACTGGCAGGTGGTTGTCTTTCACTATGAAACGTTTTGTGTATTTAAAATGTAAATTTGGCGTAAAATGCTTCATTATATTAGCTTGTAGCTCACCATTTTGGTCCATGACTTGACGCGGTGCATTACTGCGTTGAAGTGATGGGAGTGGCTTCGTGTCGTTTGCAGATCAACGCTGCGCACAGTTTACGCAAGCGTGCGATGTATGCTTTCGATTTGGCACGTTGCAAGTTGTTTGGTCATAAAAAATAATATTTCTTTACCATGATTTAAGTCATAATCATAACTAGCAAAATGTAATTAATTCATTTTGATTTTAACCCGTTCAAATACTAAATGCTAAACATCTGAAATGTTTTATGAGGCATACAAACTATACTACAACAGCATCATAAACCACATAGAGATAACAGCATTAGTTTCAACTGTACTCATTAAACTGGCGATGATTTTTAAAATAAAACACCCAGGGATTAAAAAAAGCATAATTAACTTAATTATATAATATACATCATCATTATCTATAATTGTTGTGCATCAACTAAAACAAATCTTTAGAAGACAGTCTGTCCAACAAAAGTCACAAAAGACATCACATATTTTTATTTTTGCCACTTTGCATTCGAAAATACTGATAATGGCCACTTAATACTTTGGATCAAAAAGGTTTTTAACCCCTGTTGTAGGCTACTACCACCTTTTAACAAAAACACACACACAGAACTAAAATGCCTGTATAATTAAATTTTTAGGAAAAAAAAAACGTTAAATATGATGAATTTTTTATTTTTATATCAAAAGCGTCTCACACTCAAGTACAAGTTTCTCAGTACATATTCCCATATATTGGTATCCAAACCAATGCACACGCATGTTTTTAATTACATCATTGGGGTTGGGGGAAATGATACCCAAAGATGGCAAAATAGCTTCCAGTGGCAGATTTAAAAGTGACAAGCAACTGTTCTTTGGTGCAGTAGGAAAATCAGCGTAATCTTGGTATGCAACCTTCCATCTCTATCATTTCTGGCCATCCATCATACTTATTGGTGTCCCGGTCATTCTTCATGTGCTGAAAAAAAAAACATAAATGAGAGAAAAAGTTGCACAAAAGCACAAAATAAAAAAGTATTTTATTGCATGAATTGTTACTTTTGGCAATGGCATTACCTGCTCAAAATAGACTCGGGCTAAGGTGTTTTTTCCTCCCACAAAGATCCAGTTATCTCTGAAACCGATTTTAGATATAAATGCACTGCCAAGCTCTGCAAGAAGCGTCCTTGCTTCCTCATTTAGCCTATAATAAAAGAAACCACATTTATTATCACGATAAGACAACATCAGTATAGGATGTACATGCAAACTAAAACTACTGTACTTTGTGTATGGATCATCAAAAGTGGTAATCAGCACAAAAGAACCATCCTCTATTGACTTCAGAAACTCTATTAACTCTTCAACCTCTGAAAAACAACAGAAGATTGAGTTATTACATAGTTGAAGTCAGAATTATTAGCCCCCCTTTGAATTTGTTTTTCTTTTTTAAATATTTCCCAAATGATGTTCAACAGAGCAAGAAAATTTTTACAGTATGTCTGATAATATTTTTTAGTCTGGAAAGTGGTATTTGCTTTATTTCAGCTAGAATAAAAGCAGTTTAAACACCATTTTTTAAGGTCAAAATTATTAACCCCTTTTAAGCTATATTTTATCGATTGTCTAAAGAACAAACTATCGCTATACAATGACTTGCCTAATTACCCTAACCTGCCTAGTTAACCTAATTAATCTAGTTAAGCCTTTAAGTGTCACTTTAAGCTGTATAGAAGTGTCTTGAAAATTATCTAGTAATATATTATTTACTGTCATCATGGCAAAGATCAAATAAATCACTTATTAGAAGTGAGTTATTAAAACTATTATGTTTAGAAATGCGCTGAAAAAAATCTTCTCTCCGTTAAACAGAAATTGGGGATAAAATAAACAGAGGGGGGTGGCTAATAATTCTGATCTCAACTGTATGTGTGACCTGTAAATGCAAATCTGTATTTACAAGGTAAGAAATTAGATCAGTAACATGAAGATGAAACATACTTCCAGTCCACATATTGAAGCTGCCAGTTTTGACGTGCTCACCCGTTTCTTCTGAATTTTTAAAACAAAGTTAAAAAAGAGCATTTATCAAACATAAAATAAACAGCAACATCAACAGTAATATTAAAATCAATGGTGAAGGAAGTACACAAGACTAACATTTCAGAAAAAGTACAGGTACCCTAATAAAATATATTTCAGAATAAATATTAACTGATATTAGACCCAGTGAGTTGATGAAGAGACACTCTCTCTGGCTGGAGACTAACTATGAACAGATCATTTGAACCTGTGAGTTGTTGACTGGAGACTAACTATGAACAGATCATGTGAACCAGTGAGTCATTTACTGGAGAATAACTCTGAACAGATCATTTGAACAAGTGAATTTTTGAATGAAGACTAACTCTGAGCAAATCATTTTAATTAGTGAGTCACTGACTAGTTCTCTTTGAATCATTTGAACACATGGGTTGGCGACAGAGGCAAAAATACACTCAGCAAGAAATAAAGAAATAAATTAGAAATAAAATACATTTATTTATTACTATTATAAATTAGAAATAAAGTTCTAACAATGTTCACAACCAATAAAACATCTTATTTGAAATGAATCACGACGATGTCTACAGTTTAAAACTATGGCATGTTTTTATCAAATTTACAAATGTAGTTTTGTTCTTTTTGAATGTAATAAGTAGATGTAAAAGTACAAATGATCTACTTAAAAATGCACTTAAGTACAATAAGAAAGTAATGTTACCACTGATTTAAATATTATATATTAGGGCTGCACAATATATTTAAAAAATGATCACAATAGTAGTATATGCAGTATACGTATTGCAGATGTGTGATAAATGATATTTATTTTATGCATTAGTTGGTTAGCAAAATTTGACCAATCAGATAGGGCCTTACTAGCTCCGCAGTAGCTGCTGTTCTGCTATTGGCTGAAGTGGCCCTAATCAAACAGTAATGGTGGGAGTTGAGACTGGAGGAAAAGGACAACAGCCAATCAGAGTCAGAATATCTGCTGTGGTTTTCATTTGTTATACCCATCACAATTTTACATTAATTCATATCATTTTACAATGTTTTTTGCACCTTGAGACAGCTTTTTTTTGTCTGTGTTAAAATGAACTAAATCTGAAAAAAGTTATATCATTAAATGAATGATTAAATATAGAAATATTACTTATTAGAAACATTGTTATGGCAATACTCAACATAATTGCATCTTTTTTTCTACTATCATGCAGCCCTATTATAAAAGTTCAAAATTAATTCCCAATATTTTCACAAGTTACTTATTTTCTTAGCATTCACTTACCATTGATAACAGCAATATTAATTCCAAGCCAGTTACCTCGTGTCTCTTTCTGTATTAACCTTAAACAAAATTGCAGAACTGGCTTAAACTCCACTTGTGATTTAAATAACACTTTTATGCTATTTTATTTAATCATGCATGAGAAGTCAACATCCTTACATTTTTCCATCAAAGCATATTTGGGGTCCAACTATATTAGTTGCACCGCTGTACATCTTAAAGGCCAAACCACCTGCAGGACATGGTTTGGCCAGGCCACATTTGGCTTTAGGCACTGCAAAAACAAACAGAGTAAAAATCAAGCAGAAATGGGCATTTAAATGTGTACCCTTAACACCCAATTACATCAAGCACAAAAACTATTAAGATATCTATATTATCGTCCACACCAACAAACAATATTTGTTCATTATAAGCAGAAGTAGCGTTTTTGGTTACTGTTAATCAGCTATTACATAATAGAATATAATATTTTTGGGGGAAATTTCTTACCATTAGGTTTGATTTCCATCATCTTTTTACCAACATCAGGTTTCGACGGGACTAAATGCATTTCATCCACTGACCTTTCTGTGTTTTACACAAATATATATATACCATACATTGCATGCATCAGTAGGAAATCAAATAAACAAATAATCAAACAAATAAAATCTTCTTTAAATTGGCAACTCACCTATTAAATTTGATAATGTAACTTCTGGATTAATTTGCAGGAGTTTGAGGACAAGGCCCATGGATATCATGAAAGCAGCCACCATCAAAATGAATTTCAACTTTTCTGTAGAAGTAAATTAAATTACGATTACATAGAATAAAAAAAAAAATACTATAACAGTCTTCTTTGTCTGAATAGATTTATTATTTACACAGTATCACATGTAATTGAGGAATCAAATTATTACATTTAATTAGAACTTAAGGGCATCTAATTGGGTATACGCAGAAATTTTTTAAATTTTCAGTAACCTGGGTCAAGTGCTTCCGCTGAACTAAACTGTATGCAGTTACAAAATTTAAGGTCTGTTTTCTTAAAAAAAAAATCAATGATATCCACTGCCTGATGGATATACGACATAACATGGGACTCAGAATGTACACGAAACACTAAATTCTTTAAAATATGATCATGTAATTCACTCCAGTATTTTCAATGGTGTTTCTGCGTTCGCCTGAATCAACTCGTTTCATGCTTGAACAACTAAATAAAGGCTGAAGTCTATTTAACTGATTGCATTTTAATTACATTATAACATCGATGCTGAAAAAGGAACCTTATAAACCTAAAAAGTCCCATTAACAGTTCACCGGAAGTTTATCTGTATAGGAAGAAACACTAGCTGTGCATATACCCTATTAGAGTATATTACATTTTAAAAAGTTCATTATCAGATTACAGTTTCCATTTTATGGATTACATGATTACATATTGTTTACATACTGATGGTGAATTATTAATAATTTATTTATTCAGCCTTATTCAGATCTAACAATTCTAATGTCTGTAATGTTGCTTAGATTTATTTGAATATCCACAAATAAAATGACGTACATGTAAATTACATGTAAATTTGGCATGTAAATCTATTTGCAATCTGTGATTCAGGGTTTGGGGGGGGGAAAGGAATTCCACCATATATGAAAGAAATGATAATGGAATTTAGATGGGAAACACTACGTTATGGCAATATCATTCAGTTGATTCTGGAAGTGTGGCCAAAAATATTTAAAACCTGCCAGATTTTGAACATGAACATAATTGTTCACATATTTCAGGAAACGTTAGTTATTTCTGTGAGCCAACCACCTATGAATAAAATGATTCATATAAGAAAGTAAACAATAATAATAATAATAATAATAATACTCTGGATGATCCGGTTTACCCCACAAGCCCAAAAACATGTGGTACAGGTGAATTGCGTAGGCTAAATTGTCCATAGTGTATGTGTACAAATGATTGTGTATGGATGTTTCCCATTGATGGGTTGGATAAGTTGGCGATTCATTCTGCTGTGGCGGCCTCAGTTTAATAAAGGGACTAAGCCCTAAAGAAAATGAATGAATTATTAATAATAATAACAATAATAATAATACTATTTTATATATAATGTAATAACAGTTGCATGTTCACAGTTCTGTAATGTTTACACTGACATGTATTAAGATATTATAAATTATTATTATTTCTCATTATTAGTTATTCACAGAAGTTTGGGAAATTATATTATAATGTAATGTAATATTTAATGCATTTTGATGTTGATTTTCTTTCTTTCTGGTTTCTGCTATATCAATATGGTATATTAATTAGTGAGAAAGATAAAACATTAAACAAAAAGCTACCTAAAGTCAAAAAACATCAACTAGAATAAACATTTTTACAAAGTAATCTGTAACAATCTACTTTTCTAAGTAATTCATTCAGCATAGCCTGCTGCAAATGGGATATCTTTAATGCTATCCATTTTTTTTTGTCCTATGCTGATGATGACTATGCAAGTCAATTGTGATCATTAAGAGTTGGCTTGTTTAAACAGAGATTACAAGACCTAGACCACCTTGGAACAAAAACAAAACAGCAGTTGGCTCGTCACAAAACCAGTTTGACCACTTTAAGCAAACATGACATGCTTTATCAGCAGCAACACAAAGCTAATTCACTACATTTAAATGATGTTCATTTACAAATTGTTTTAAAGTTTATTTAGAATGACTGTCTATTTAAAATACTTAATAAAGACATAATTCAAACATTGCTTTCAGAAATAGCCATCTATGCAAAAAAATAAATTGCATCTACATTCACTTTGCAATTTGCTTTGTGCTGTAGCTATTGTGAATGAAAGCAATATAACCAGGAATGTACACAATGCACTGCTGTTCTGAACAAGACATCTAGTATGTCTTCAAAAACAACTTACTTCTGTTTCTCTGTCTCGTGTGTAGCACAAGGGGACCAACTAGAAGTAAAAATGTCAACGTAAACATGAAATAAAGGGAGAGAGAGAGAGAGAGAGAAAAAAAACAAAGACAAACGAAACCAACCTCTTCGAACGTAAATCATGATTCAACTCTTCTCACAGATGATGTTCATCCACTTTACAGTAAGCGAAGATGTAGAAATGCCAGTTTTTCACCACATCACACGGGTATTTTACCATTAGACCACTTCTTTAAATAGTTCGGCTGTGTTGTCCTTGCCAGCTGAACTGCTGAATAAACTTGTAGGCTTTAGACTCTCTAAAAGCACAAGAAGACAGACTTATGACAGTGCAAAGATACTACAGAAGTATTCGACCCATTTTTTTCCCAAACTCGATCAACTCGTTTTTTAGGATTCTAGTTTGACAACTTCCTTTGAATGAAACAGGCGAGATTAGACTTCAGGAATGGTATAAAAAGTTATCAGTATCCTGATTCTTACTCATTTTGAAGATCCCTTCGGATGTCCATGTTGCTTTTTCTAAACTTTAGCTGTGCATAAAACGAATTAGCGGTACAATGAAAGTTAACAAAAGGTTATTTCCGTTTGCTTGTAGTCTTGTATATTTGAGTTTCTGGCTGCAGGGCGCTTTACTGCGTTTGTCGTTCAGCAATTAGGCAGCAAAACCACTAGATGGCGCTGCCGACTACAGGAAGGAACACGTGTGTTTACAACACGTGGGCCCAGTGGCCACACTTTTTCGTATGAATGGGCCAAAAACCACATATCAATAGGTGCGTTCGACATGAAGCTCAGCTGCAGCCGGTGATCAACGAGATTAGCCGAGCGCAGGCGGGGCGGAGTTGAAAACGGAGCCGTCAAGACGGACAGCTGGACACTTCGGGACTCAAAGTTGCTGCAGTCATGATGACCGATCACATGGCGTCATCATATTTTTTTGTTATTTTTATTTATAACAACAAAACATTTACAAATAAAACAGAATACAGGCTATTCAAACTGTAGTTCCTTTTTAAACAATAAGAGAGAATTATGAATAAAATATATAACAAATGCATGAGAGAAATAAGAGGAAATGAGAGGTTAATATAAACATAAAAACGAACAGGTCTATTAAATACAAAGCAATAAGCATAAATTATAGGAGTTAAACATCAATCTTTAGGCTAATACTTCTTGTTTGAATCTGCTAAAAAGGGTTTACATATATGTACATTTATAGATATAAAAATTTCCCATGTAAAAAGCAAAACAAGGTGTTTTGATTAGGTCTTAATAAATGAGATTATTTTGGATAATGAATGAATTTTCAAAAAAGCATTTTAATCCAAAAAGATTGTGTTGAAAAGAACAAAAGGTAAAATAAGTGAGCTATGTAGAAGTTTCCCAGAAAGAGCAGGTAGCCTTTAAACTGCTAGACAGGAAATAAAATATATATTTATATTATAATAATAAAACCATTTTATAATTATTTAATAAAATAGTTCTTTACTTTAATTTGTTAAGAGAGCTTTAGGGTGGCAGGATCAATGATGATGATTTTCTTATTTCAAGTCTGTAAGACTTATTTGAGTTCATATTTAGGTTATTCACTAAAATATACACTAAAATATATCATTTAAATCGTTCGTGGAGATGAATGCAGTAAATAGTCTGTATAAAAAAGTAAAAAAATAAACCTGTGCAAACAAGCTAACCTTTATAACCAGATTATTTAACAAAAGATGATACTGCAGTAAAATATATGTAGTTTTTTAATAAGCAAGATGTGTACAGGATAGAGAGGGTGTGAAAAGTGAATTGTTTGTTTTGAAACTTTTGAATCGGAATTTGTCCAATTATAAACCCGAAATACACGTGTTTGTTGTCATGTGGTGAACTCGGCCAATCGTGTAATATCGGTGTCGTCATCAAAGCTCCTGCAGTCGCTCTTCAGAAGCTGCATGGTCTGAGTTTGCCGTCTGATCTCGGAGCGCTGTCGCGGTACTTTGATGCCACATGTGACAGTCACGTGGCGTCGGCGCAGCATCAATCCGGACAAGATTTCTAACCAGAATGCACCGCTTTAAGACAGATTTCGATCGATCTGCGCAGCGCTGCATGAAGTCGAACGCACCTATTATGAGCCGTGGGACGAAGGTTAATATAAAGTTAGTCATGGGTAATTATTTAATTTAATTCTTAATGTTTAAAATAGAGGTCATTACTTTTAATTGTTAGCTAATGCAGTATAACTTTTTAAATGATAACATAATGCAATAAAAACACAAACAATATTTAAAACACAGTGGAGTTCAGTGCGGAATAAACTACAGAAGTAAAGCAGAATCTGCCATTGACTTGTTTTAACTAAGTTGCTCACCAAAGTCTCTGCATTGTCGGGTCACAGTACATCTAAACAAAATTAGATTAATTTTAACTAATTTATCTAAAACATTTAATTTCTCTTAGATTTTAACAATATAACAAACAGAGGGTTACATTAAATTTGAATTGACAATCTCGAAACATACACATCATTCTTTCGAGTTTTTTAGAGGGATGGTAGGCCTTACTTTGGCCATCACTGGTTTACACACTGAATTGTGCAGAATTATTAGCCCCCCTGTTTATTTTTTAGTCTAGTTTCTGTTTAACGAAGCAAAGATTTTTTTTTTGTTTGTTTGTTTTAATAACTCAATTCTAATAGCGGATTTATTTGATCTTTGCCATGAATACATTAAATAATATTTTACTAAATATATTTCAAGACATTTTTATACAGCTTAAAATGACATTTAAAGGCTTAACTAGGTTAGTAAGGTTAACTAGGCATGTTAAGGTAATTAGGCGAAAACTGAAAATTTCCTGGCTCTGTTAAACTAAATTTAGGAAATATTTAAAAAAGAAAAAAAAAATCAAGGGGGCTAAAAATTCTGAATTCAACTGTATATATATAAGTCAGAATTATTAGCCCCCTTTGATTAATCATTCTTTTTTTTGCATCCATGCTCCATGCTTTTCGTGTCAATGTATATTTTTAGACTTTGTGAAGTCCCTTGACAACCAAGTTTTTTACATAACGCTTCGTGAACAATCAGAATACACAATTACACAATAAATAAAACAAAAATGTAACAACTTGGATTTTTTTTTTTTAATCATCAAAAATAATGGACAATGAAGTCAAACAACAAAACCAGGCTTTACATCTATTAAGCTTTACCCTATTAATGTTAATGGATACAAATTGCCACCTTATTAAAAAAAGCAAGATGAAAACAATAAGGATTTGTATTCTAACAGAGACAGAATTGATTTAATGCAGATTATTTCACTTGCAAAGCTTAAACCACCTAGTTTTTTAAAGCTATAAAATATACAGTATATAACTTGAGAAGCAGAAATCAAGCAACATTTTAAACATCTAAATGTAAAATGCTGAAGTTATATTAGAAAAGATTACAATTATGACATCATTTCAAATAACATGTTTTTTTTCTGTGGATTACAAAAATAAAACTGATGATATTTGAATGAAATCTAAATATATAATCAAAACATTTTTACCAACATTACTGAAAAAGCTGTTTAACGGAAGTTTTAATATGTTATGCAGTTATCCTTATCCCTCAAATAAAATTGTTAAGTGCTTCCTGAGCATCGGTCAGGCGTTTCAGGCGAGCTCGTAGTTCTGTGCGCTTTCTGCTGACCTCCGTGTCCTCAAACAGGAGCTTACTCACATTTGTCCCATCCACTAAACTCAGCATTTCAATAGACATGATCTCAGCAGTCTGCTTCAGCATGAAATGAATGATCATCAAAGGCAGCTGGTCAGTCAACCGTTGTGCTACAATCTAAAAAAAAGATCACAGAGGTAAATTCTTCCAAACACCACAAGCACTGCAATTTGTTGCTGAACACCAGGATCTACCTCATAGTATGTCTCAAGCATATGACTGTATTTGCACGCCTTGTCAATTAAGGGTAACTCTTCTTCTGAATATCTCTCATTGGTAATCTCATTCAAGGTCTTTAAGAAGACTGAGTCTTGAGTGTAGATTATGTTTTCCATGTCAAACTGCTCTGAGATCCTCTGCTCAGTCTTGTATTGCTGTCTTGACTGAATATTTTCAGCTTTGCCCTACAATGAAGCGAGGGAATAGAGCTTAATTAAACTTGATTAAAAATCTTTGCTACTAATCAGGACAAATGTTTACCATGGCAATGCTTTGAAGGGCAGGGTAGTTCCTGAAACACTGACTGACCCTGTCAGTTAGATGTTTAGCGATAATGCCTTTAGGAGAAATACAAAAATCAAGAAGACACATTTGCTAAAACTATAATTAGTCATTTAGATAGCGATCTTTATCTATGTATAAAATGTATATTGTAGAAGGTTGCAAGAAAGTCTTTAAACACAAAGATGTCTGATGGTACCGTTTGCTTTATGAAGTAAGTTGATCGCTGGCTCCTTAAGTTGGGCCACATGATCTTGCAGAATTGTTTCAAACAGTTTGTAGTTGGAGAAGCCATGCAGTTCTCTCCCTCTGTTTTTCTTCATCAGCTCTTTCGAATAGTTAACTTTTTTAAAGAAAAACAAGATGGATTCTTATTAAATTTATTGACCGAGAACAGGTACAAATGCATTTTAAAGTGACAGTTGGTCAGTGGCCCTTGGTGATTCATATATTTTTAGTCAACAGCTACCAGCACTGCGAGAGTATAATATTTACAGACTAAACAAAATTAATACCTGAAACATCTGGGGCCTCATGTATCAACGCTCCGTATGCACACACACTTTGCGCACGCCAGGTTTCACGCTCACTTTGGATTTACTAACGATGAAATGAACGTGGGAATGTGTGCTGGTCCACGCCAACTTCATGCCTGGCTTACGCGCATTTCTTGTGTGTGTTTGTTTTAATTCCATTGGCGACTCCTAGAGGCAGTTGTGTTAAATTGCACACTACATCTTTGAGCCGTGTAATGGCAGCTGTATGGGACAGGTTCATTCGCATGTCTAGCAGGAATATAAGGTTTTCATACCATGCAGTTGTCCAGCCAAACATAAAGCGCAATTTGCAGCAGTCGCCGGTCTGCCTAATGTAATTGGAGCGATCGACTGCACACACATTGCTATAAAGGTGCCACCTGAAGACGAATTTGTATAAGTGAATCAGAAACATTTCCATTCAATAAATGTGCAAATAATATATGATGCACACACTTATTAATGATTCTTGTCTTCCTCGTGATGAAGAGTAGGCAAAATATGATATGTAGCGGGGGGGAAAAAGAATAATGTCTTCATCAGACGCTAAATTCAAACCAAGTTCATGCTTGAACGTGTCAAAACTTGTTGCCGTGCGTTTTACAAGCTACGCAACTCACACTCTTAAAGACATTCGAAAATTTTACACCTTTACATCGCATTATTTCTTTTTTAATCCACTCAGTGCGATGTTTAGACCCAACTGTGTTAACCGCATCAGCTAAACTCTCCCACTCTTTTTTTTTTTTTTTTTTTTTTTGTTATTAAATCCAAGGAGAAACTTGCAAATAACACTGTTTTTCTCCGGTCTACCTCCGAAAGCTGCACCTCCAATTCACATTCGGTTAAAAGTTTCTGTTTTTGCTTGCTTTTGCCATTGCTTTTTCCGTTGGGGTTTGCCAAAGT